TTTTTTTTGTGGCTGTTATTGTTTTCAGTACACGCATACCAATATTCCAATTGTATACTTGATTTTAATGATCTACAATCAAGTGAGAATTTCATTCATTCTATTTCTCATTAATGCACCAAAAAATGTTCTTGGGTCAAAAAGTGACCCGGTCTATCTGTTGGGCACAAAAATTGCAATAAACTTAAAATCATTTAAAAACAAATCTAAATATAATGGAATTAAGAAAATAACAATAGTAGCTATTTTTTTTTCCAATACAAAATATTTCATCAAGTCAACTTAGCCACCACAGTGGTCACTGTGGCCCCCCTGTATGCATCACCAACGGTTAAAAAAAGAGATTGAAACGTTTTTTTAAACTGGTAATTTTGACTGACAACTTCTTGTGAGGGTGGCAAAAAAAAAAAAAAAAAAACCATAAATGTTGCTAGGTCGTGAATCATTTTGGGCTGCAGAATATTTTTTAAAAAAGAGAAAACGCTTGGACTTGTGTTGTAGCTCACTGCGGTTAAAAAAAAAAAAAAAAAGCGGGGCTCCACCCTTCTTGCGGACAAACTGCGTCAAACCCCACCCACGCCCCATTCGTCGTCGCCTCTTGGCGGTCGTGGCGACTTTGCCGAAAAAAAAAAAATCGTGAAAAAATCGGATATTTTTTCGCCCCTTAAATTGGTTCCCAAGCCCGTCAATTGACTTCCCCGTTCGACAAGCGAGGTCGCTAAGATATCGGTGTCGGACATTTTCCTTGCTAACTTTGTTAAACGACAATCTTGTTACCTTCCACTTTGTGTTTCTCTTCTCCTGCTGGGACCTTTTGGGGAAACGATCCGAAACCTTGCGTTGGTGGTGGTGACCCAATGGCAAAAATGGAAGGACTTTGGTGATGATATGGAGGGATGGATGATGTTTTCATGGATGATTGTGAGACTGAACTATGAATCCTTACCAAGTGGCTTTCCAGCGTATGGTCCTGCAAAAATGAGGGATTCATTACAAAACAAAACAAAAAAAAAACCCTCGACTTTTTACACCCATCGTGTGGGAGGGGGGGAGGGGAAAGACCCACCTTTTTCCATTGGGAGGACGCTCGTGAAGGTGACCACCGCCGCCGCCGCCGTGCTGCCGGCGGTTGTTGAGAAGATGTTTCCAGGTTGCTTGACTGGAGCCAGACTGTCCCGACTGCGTCCTCAGCACCCTTCAAGTCACCATCGCTTTCGCGCCCCTCCTTCCAAGCTAAAGGAGGGGTCAGCGATGTTCTCCTCTCGGGATAGGTGCGCTGCCAAGGGGTGCTGCTACACTCTACCATTGGACATGAGATGATGATGATTGGGGGGGGCTTTTTTTTTTTTTTAGGAGGGTTCCAATTCCGCATTTCATAAATATTAATACAGAGGCCTCCCTCTGCGCCCGCCCTCCCTAAATGGTTAGTTTCTTTAATTTTGTTAGTGAGGGTGGGGGGAGCGGGTGAGGCGGGGGTGTATCGGAGGCCGCGTCTGATCGGTGAGGATGCCGGCCGGCCGACTGGAAAGTCCTTCAAGTGCTTGGATTCGTACTTGCTCAAAAAAACAGGAGCCATTATTGAACCGAATTGGGCCAACATCTGTAAGCACATTTCGAAATGCCGCAGCACGGTGGAAGACTGGTTAGCATGTTTGGCTCACGGTTGAAGAGTCGTGGGTTCAAATCTGGCCTCCAACCACGCATTCACGTGAGTGTGATTGGTTGTTTGTCGATGTGCGCCCTGTGAATAGCTGGCAAGCAGTTCAGGGTGTACTTTTTGCACAAGGGGGGGGGGGCTGGGATAGGCTCCAGCACACCCTAGCGAGGAGCAGAGCTGTCATAGTTTGGGATTTTGAATTATAGTTCGTTTTGAAATGCTCTGTTCTTGGTGAGTTTGTATGAGTAGGTTTTTTTTTTTTCTTGCTGCTGAGGCGATCATTTCAATCGAGTGTGTTGGGAGTTGGGACACATCTAAAGCACGCAGGACAGCGGCCCTCGAGGACCGATTTAGACAGTTGACGCATCTCTGAACAAAGCCGTGCATTTTTCACATTCTTGTGTCTTCCGTCAGTGTACTGCATGCTGTACTGGGTTGAGATCTGGTCAAAACTATTTGTTTTTTCAAACTAGTTGCTGCCTAAAATGGCTGCCACTCCTCCAGGGTAAATGGCTTCTATTTTGGGAAAGCTTTTCAATGATAGCTGCGCGTCTTTGCTGATATTTTCAAATCCATTGTGGTGATAGAAAAGTAGTACTATTGATTTTAGACCGAACTGTATCACAATTTAAAGTACACGACTTGAGGCGCCGTCTGACAGCTCCGGCGTAGTCCGAAGAGATTTCCGTGTTTCTGAACACTGTAGGATATTAGCCTTCTAATAGTCGATACGCTGGCACAGTCCATTGTGAAGCAAGAAATGGCCACTCCTCTTCTTGCACCACATCGCCACGATGCAAAGCACGCCCCGACTCTGATGAAATGCTTTTACACGCATGTGCCTGCGCCCAATGGCGTCTTGTTAGTTGTGAACATCTGCTGCATGATGTCCCCAAACTGCGTCTGAGTGAATGAACTGATTAACCTGAGTGGCTGTCCAGACCGGTGAGGGAGAGAAAGGGGGTTTGTGGGGATGGAGGGGGGCCACCGGGCTGAATAAGTGCCTTCATCATCAATGTCCCGTAAATCACCGAGCCGGACAGGCCTTTAAAATGAGAATCCTACCCGCACCCCCACCCACCCTTCGTCTTCCCTGAGCCAAACTCGAGTGGTTGTGATGATGCGGCGAGGCCTTTGCATTACAAGCAAACGCTCATATATAATCTACTGCAATAGCGCATTGGGTTCACTGATGCAATATTTTTCCATTCCCAAAAGGAGAGCTGAATAAAAGAGTAGCGGACTGGGAGTCCAAAGACACATGCCACCTTTTATGAATGGCCGCCAAATAAACTTCAGCTGTTCTAGTAAGCCTTTCTTGACGTTCTTGCAGTTGCATCTTTGTGCCCAACTCATGGTTTGCGGAAAGCTTCCACGACATCAGACGGATCTCTTTTTAAGTTGGGAGAAGGGTATGAAGGTATTTCCAAGACATGAAAGAACTGGTGACCCCCCCCCCCCAGCCGAAGAGACAAAAAAACTGGTCGGGGGGTGCCAACAAGCTGACGCTAAGGCATTGCAGGGGTTTCTGGCAAGTACTGGATGTTTACTGACAGCAATCTTCTCTTTTCTTCATGTGTCTCTGCTTGAGGCATACATGGCAATGGCGAGTGATGAAAAAAGCGGAAGGGGCGTGGCCTGGACGGGGCGTGGCCTGTACGGGGGCGTGGTTACTTACAAAAGTGGCACTAAACATGCTGAAGATGAAGTGTATTAAATTTACACAGTTTGAAAATTGAACAGAAAAAAATCCCAAGATCGCCACTATTCTTTCAAGTGGAAATTTGTGCAATTTTGCCTATGCATTCCTGGTGAGCACCAATATGTAACTCCAAATTTGCTGTTCAAAATCAAAACTAAAAAAGTAAACACATTCCCTGCCATATTTAAGATTTGTTCATGACTTGTATTCATAAAGTGT